AAAGTTAATCTCACACAGGATTGTCCTGCAAGGTCTAGATAGCAGGAGATAAGAAATTCTAAATTAAGCAGAATGTGCAATAAAGGAAGTATACAGTATTTCACAAAAGCGAGTACACCCCTCACGTTTGTAAATATTTTATTATATCTTTCATGTGACAACACTGAAGAAATTACACTCTGCTACAATGTAAAGTAGTAAGTGTACAGCCTGTAAAGCAGTGTAAATTTGCTGTCCCCTCAAAATAACTCCACACAGTGGTTTGAGATACTGTAAATATTAGATGACTCTTTAAAGGAAGTGCTTATTAAGGCTGTGTAAGTCACATGCAGGGAGGTGTCACTAGGGCCGTATAAACAAAGTGACTTAACTCTTTAATGGCAGAGAATTGAGCAGTGAGACTGCAAGGGCATGATCTATACACCAAAACTGCTTTATTAATCTAAAGTTGGTTTGGTGACTGTAGTGTCCCTTTTAATTTAAAATTCAGTTGAATTCAACTTGAATAACCCTGCAAGTTAAATAAGATCCAAAGATTTGCTGTTTTTAGAAGAGATATGTACCAATAAGAGAGATTCTGAGCACACTGTAATCTTTATCCAGTGGATTTTAATTTTGGAAATATTTTCTACAAAATGTAAAAAATCATTATTTTCTACATAGCGCTAGCGTCTAACCCTTGGATGGTTTGTATGACTTGTTAAGTACTGAGATACCTTTAGGGAATTGAGCTTTGCAGACTGTGGAAACATTACAACTGTATATAATCAGAGAAAAATCAATACCTGGTTGAAATGAAATTGAAACCATTCTAGAAATAAAATGGAAATTATGCCCAAGGACTATAGATACTCCTTTTGTAAGATCAAAGGAGAATCCTTGCTGGGCAAAGGCTGAAGAACTACTTTATCTGTACAGTCAGAAAAAATGTGGACCTAAAAATAATTCACAGGGATAAGGAACTTCCCAATAAAAAAATAAATAATAATCTGCTACAATATAATAATAATAATAATAATAAAGGTTAAAAAAAAATGGATAATTTATTTGAAAATAAATGTCAACTTGTTAAATGCCCAGGTGTATCCAATCATTGACTAATGCTTGGAGAAGCAAATTTAGTAGAAGCATATTTTAATTTACATTGATTAGAGCAGTAAGTCTTTAAAATCGTATCACACCCTTGTAGCTCTTTCTAGATTGAATACGTGTCTGCAAATTAATACTTGACTGTATGTATATTAAAATAAAAAAATTAAAATAAAAAGTAATTCTGTGCCAAAGCACTGCAAGTGTAACAATCGCAAAAAAAAAAAAAGGAATGTGCCAAATAAAATGTTCCAATTTTAGATACTTGGTCCATTTTCAGAAATATTTACTATTCTGCTAGTTTATACTATTTAAGCATAATGCATGCATTTGTTTTGTTTTTTCCAAGTAAGTTTGGCAGTAGTTGGAGTTTATCTTTATTGAATTATTAACATATGAAATCCACCTTTCAAAACTCGGCACCCATACTACCCCATTTTAATCTATGATACCCTAATCCATGACATTACAGTACCAGTGCATTTGTTTGTTGCAGTGTAATTCCTTGCTGTTAGTTGAGTGCTAGAGTGGTGCAGTGTAGTTTATCCCCTTACGGTCAAAACTTCTGGAATAAAAGGGAATCATGACAGAAAATTTCTGTTATGTGTCCTTAAGAGGTTAATGGTGCTGTAGTTCATTGCTTATACAGGTATATGAGTGCAGAATATTTTATGGATTCTTTGTAGTTTATGGTTGAAGTGTGGTTCATTGTTGATATAGGCATATGGTTGTAGTGTAGCTGATTGGTGCATTGTGGCTCATTGCTCCTGGAGGTTTAAAGCGTTTATTGTGGTTGAATGGTGTTGCATAGTTCGTGGCTTTTGTGTGAGTGATAGTTTTGAAGGCTGGTGCACCTTGCCAGTATGCCAGTATACCAGTATGCAGATGTGGCTCTCTAATTAGGTGGTTTAGGCGGCCGCATAAGGCCTCATGCTGTCTGGGGCTTCGCGGCCGCCTAAACCACCTTGGGGCAGACTGTATCATGTCCTTGTTCAGTATGCCGTCAGGTGTCAGGCCACTCCAGTCTGCCCGGCCGGAGAGCGCCAATTGCAGACACAGGTCTGCAGTGTGCAGAGCTGCAGACCATGTTTCACGCAAGATCTGTCCAATCAGAGCATTGCCGTGGGTTACAATGGCAACGCTCTGACCAGGTCTTGCAAGATTCATGGTCTGCAGCTCTGCACACTATGAAGGTAGACTGTATATCATCCTGGAACGTGCTGGACCACCAGGGAGCCCACAGGACCACCATGGAGAGAAATGTATTTCATCTTCTCAGTATCCCCTCTGCCACCACCACCTCCTGTCCCACCATCCTCCACACCACCCACCCCCACCATCCTCCCCACACCTTCACCCCTTCCTCTAGTATCCCTCTTTCACTCTATCACCTCCCTCATGTACCCCCTCTCTTTCTACCTCTAATACCCCTTCCTCCCAGTTTACTCCCCATCTTTCATAGGTACTATCACCCCTTTCCTCCCAGTATACCCCTCTTCTGGCTACTCTTTCCATCACCTCCCTCCCTCCCTCTAAGTATCACCCCTCCTCCCAGTATCCCTCCCTCACACCTCCACCCACTACAGTATCCCTCTCTTTAACTTCTATCACCCTCTCCCTCCCAGTACTTCCCTCACACTATCACCCCTCCCTCCCAGCTTCCCCTCCCTTACATACTATCACCCCCTCTTCCTCCCAGTGCATCCTCCCTCACACCTTCACCCCCTCTAAGTATCCCCCCTCTTTCACTCTATCCCCCACTGCCTCCCTCCCTCCGTCCCTCCCCTCCCAGTATCCCTCTCTCTTTCACACCATCATACCCTCTTACATACCATCTCCCTTACTCATAGTACTACCCCCTCCCTCACAGTATTACCCCCTCTCACACACCATCACCCCACTCCCCCACAGTATTACCCATTCCATCACAGTATTCCCTCCTTCCACAAAGTATTACCCCCTCCCACACACCATCACCTATCTCCCTCACACTAACACCCACCTTCCTCACACTTCCATTCCCCTCCCTCACACTACCACTCCCCTTCCTCACAGTGTCACTCCCGTCCCACAAAGGGTCACCCCCCATCCCACACAGGGTCACCCCTGTCCCTCAGAGGGTCACCCACTGTACCTCACAGGGTCACCCCCCACACACACAGGGTCTCCCCCTCACACACACTGTCACCCTGCCACACACACTGTCGCTCCGCACAATGTACACATACTCTCACACACTGTCAGCCTCTCCACACATTATCCTCACTCATGCACTGTTATCCCCCCCACACACTTTTAGCCCCTTCATGCACACTCATATTAACCACTCCTAATCATGTCACGCTCGCACTTGCCCTCGCTCTGCCACACTCACTCTGTCAAATTAACCCCTCTAATTGTGTCAAACTCACCTTCTCTCACTCTGTCCAACTCTCCCCCAACCCTGCCACACTTATCCTGTCACATTAATGCACTTCATTCTGTCACACTCCCTCCTCCAACCATGCCACATTCACCATTTACACCAACCATGTGATACTCACACCTCCCCAACTATGCCACACTTACCATGTCACATTAACCCCTCCAACCCTGTCACACGCGTCCCTCCTACCATGCCACTATTGCCCTGACACACTTACCTCCACTTGCCCTGTCACACTGCCTTATCAAACCATGTCATATTTGCCCTCCCTCATTCTCTCTCACAACTCCCCACCCTGTCCCATTTGCCTCCTTCATCCTGTCGCACTCTCCCTGCTACTTGTACCCATTTAATCACTCTGTGACAGTCACCAGCTGAAGACATACATCATACACACTTTATTATTTGGTAAATGATTTTTTAAAATCTTTTCATTTTTGTTTCCAATAACCCTTTCACACACATTACTTATGTATACACAACTGGCAGGCTATGCAACCATACCCCACAATTGTGTATAAACGATAGGCATACTTGCAAATTAAAGTTATTTATTGCAATTTAATTTTGTTTGCAAATTATGCTACAACTACAGCCAAAAAGCTCACAATGCAGGGGCACAGGAAGCCGCAACACTGCAAGCTTCTGAACAATGAATGCAGAGACTAACTCTCTGTATCCAGTGCGGCAAGCCCACCTTTCAATACAACAACTGCTCCTTATACACACAAAATGCAACACTATTATTTTTACACTTTGGGTGTTAGTGGGGCCTTATGTTTGAGTTTCGCCTAAGGCCTCATAAAGTCTAGAGCCACCTCTGCCAGTATACCATCGATCTTTACTACCTTTTTGGATGCTAATTTTTTTGTCGTTTTAAATTTTTGTAACTTGCTTTGTAGCTAGTATTGACATCAAGAGAGTTGGGGCTGAGTGGGTGGCAAGTGTATAAAAAATACATTGCTTTTTTTTTTTTTATCAATTACCCTGTCTTTAAAATACTTCACATTAATAAACATATGCAAATAATATATTATAAATAATAATAATAATAATAGCAATAATAATTGGTTTTTATAGTACTAGATATCATTGCTGACAATTAGCACAAATAAGTCAATAGAAAAGAAAGGCATATGACTAAGCATA